TTTTGATCAGTTTTATCACTCTTGTTGCCTCTCTCTCACTTCTTGACTGAATGTCAGGCCCCTTAAAGTTACATTAATTATTCGCTCATCCTGGTGCCTCCTTAGGAGGCCTCCGCCAGAATTTCAAAAGCAAAGTCTTTAAATGTCTTGTCCTGAATATAAATAGAGCTTCTTGTTTAAAGATCTGTCAAATAAGCTCCTATTTCAAAAATAAAAACAAACCACCATCAGGCTCCACCAGTCAGCATGAAGAGGAACACAAGACAGCAAGTCTTGTAATTTCATTCCTTCCTTCCTTCATTCCATTCAAATATTTATTGAGCATCTACTATGTTCCAGGGGCTCTTCCAGACTCGGGGGATATAGCAGCTAACCAGATGGACCAAAATCCCAGCCCTTATGGAGATTACATTCTAGTGGAAGGAGACAGACAATAACAAATGAGTAAAATATTGGGTTGTAGGAAAAGTCATGATGTATTTTTTCTGTTTTTCGTTGCAAAATGCATGATGACTTTTCCAACAACTCAATATATGCTATAACAGATGGTGATAAGTGCTCTGGAGATAGGAAGGAGATAGGCAATGCGGGAGTTGGGCGGGGTTGGAGGGGGGAGTGCCATTTTAAAAAGGGTGGTCAGGCAAGGCCTCACTGAGAAGGTGACCTTTGAGCCAAGACTGTGAACTCTAAGGCAGTGAGCCCTGTGGGTCCTGGTTGGCACGACTCTTCTTGCTCCTGGCTCTTGGGTCCTAATATGGTAGCCTGTTTGTCCATAGTAGTTTGTGAAGTTCTTTTTTTTTTAAATTATTTTTTATTGTGAAATATACATTTTTTAGAATTAGTTTCAGCTGTACAACACAGTGCAATAGTTATACTGTGAAGTTCTTAATGAAATATTATGTATAACTAGGAAGTCTTTGGGAGCACTAGAAATTGTTAGCCTGGAGAGAGACTGCTACCTGTTATTCCTGCCTTACTTTTTTGAAAACAAGTATGTACCATTTAAGTGCTGTCTATATACCAGGGATTATACTAAGCATTTTATATTAATCAGTCAATTAATGAATATATTACTAATACCTGTATCAGCACACTACTAACTTATTATTGTGTATTGTAACAGCCCTAGAAAGTAGTCATTCTTTAATTAATTCATTCAACACATATCCATTGCTGGGCCTTGCCCCAGGTGCTGGGTTATTAGCAGTGAACAAAATAAAGTCCCTATTCTCATGTAGCTTAGCTAATAGGGGATGACAGACGTTAAACACATAAGCATAAAGCTATATAGAATGTCAGATGGTAAAAAGTGCTGTGGAGAACAGTAGACGTGGTAGAGATTGGGGAGCATGTGATGGGGAAGATGTGGGAGGGAGATACTATTCTACATGCTGTCTCATTTTTTTATGGCTGATTCCAAATGCCACACTGGGCTGTACAGCAAAATAGTTATGAGCCCAGGTTCTGGAATTCCGGAGATCAGGATTTGACTCTACATTCTCCCACTGACAAGTGATGTGACCCCAAACCAGTTATTCCTGAGCCTCGGTTTCCTTATCTGTAAAATAAGTATAATGACACTTCATAGGATTGTTGGGAGGACGAGATCAAATGAAATTATCCATATAAAGCACCAAGCACAGTGCCTGTCACCACAAAGCGAATGCTCTGGATTTATCATTTGTTTTGCTCCTGGGTCCCCTACCTAGGTATTTAACTTCTGACAAAATACCATGATAATGATCGCCACCAGATTAAAGAAGCCATTAAAAAACAAAAAGCAAAACAAACCAACAAACAAGAAAACACCCAGCTTGGCAATAGAGAAACCACCTGTGCCGGACATAGAAAATTGGCCGGGTAACTTATTAAACCTATGCTGTTGCTTCCTTCTAGAAACAAAAATAGAAGGGCCTTGGGACATAAGGCAAAGCTTTTCTTTTTGTTTTGTTTTTTTCTAGCTGGAGTTAATGTGACAGGGAAGACGGCCCTGGTATGCCATGAACAGCTGTCTGACAAGTTCAGAACTGGATGACACTGATCTTTAGCTCTATGGGGAGGGTTCAGGGTTATGGAGCCAGCGACCCCCTTGAGGAGGTCCATCGTGTCTGGGCTCTACTCTGCCATTTTGGAGGTGTTTGCTCCAGAGAAGGGTCCTCAACTGGCTAGGGTGCCCTGCAGTGGTGAGCTTTTAGCAGACTGATGTTGGCATGCCAACCCTGCCCTGCCAGTCTCCTGCCCTCTTCTGGAGAAAGTGCTGTGACAACTGTATGCCCAAGCAGCAACAGCAGGTTGTGGATCAAAGCCTTTTTTCATCAGCTCCTGACCAAGCACTCAAAAATCCAGTAAGGGCCTGAGCTGGAGCACCCGGGAAGTTGGAGGCGGAGGCCTAAGCCTGGACCCATAGGACTAACTCATCAGGCAGGGGTTAGTCAGGAGGCAGAAACCAAGAGGGATTTGAATGTAAACAACTGTTAACTAGGTGTCAAGTTGTTACTTGGTCCCTGAAAGGGGCCCTGAAAAAGAATTCTAACGCGGAGGTAGCAACTGCAGGAAAGTTACCACCTCCAGGGCTGAGAGAACAAAGGGGAAAGATCAGAATTATTAAAATTTAGTAATTTGGGAGAGAGGTGCTGAGAACTGTAACTCAGACCTTTGAGAAGAGGGGCTGCTCAGCTGGGGCTGGTGTCTCTGAGGGGCTGCTGTGAGGCTGGTTTTGCAAATGCTGGGTAAACTGCAAACTGGATCCGGTGGCTGCTGCAGAGCACTCTCTAAACCCAAAGCTCCCTTATGTGTAAAATGGAGATGATAATACTTGTGAGGACTAAATGTCTTACAGTAGACCCTTAACATATGGCAACTGTTATATTTGGTTCAATTATCAAGTATAGAAATAATAAGCTTGATTATCTATTATTGATGTTGCTAATACTAAATAGAAGAAACTTTAGGCATCATTTATTCCACTACATCATTGTGTAGATGAAGAAACTAAGGCACAGAAAAAGGTCAGTAGCTCTATGGAGGTTAAGAGTTTGGGCTGTGGGGTCAGTGAGGCTTGGATTCAATTCCTTGCTGTCCATTTCCACTTAATGGCTAAGTGACCTTAAGTAAGTTCAGCTCTCCTAGCCACACAGTGTGACAGGGACTGCAGGAATGAATCCATTGCCTGGCCCTCGATAAGCGCTCAGTAAATAGCACTGGAACATTGTGCGTGGTGAACAGAGAGCCTCTGGGGTGGGGGTTGGTTGGACATGACAGTGACTGTCCACAGAACAGACCTTTCAGGTGAGTGCAGGCTCTCCGTAATGATATGGTGAGAACACACGAGATTCTACCATGGTACTACCATATTTGCTTTGCAACGTCAAACAAGGTACTCTGTTTCTTCTTCCTGTGGTTTTTTTTTTTCCTTATAAAGATCATGATACTTGACCTTATATCTACTTCTTGGGTTTTCTGGAAGCTGAATAATGAAATGAGAATCTCTGGAACCTGAGAGCCTTGAAGAAGCTCATAAATAAACAGCCTCAGGTGACTGGTGTCCACCCTGTGTACCACAGCAGTACTAAACCAGCGATGCCGGGACTGGAGGCTGGATTCCTGCTTTCAGAACCAAAATTGTTCTTGTTATAGTCAATTCTTAATTTTTATGTGCTAACTGGGAAAAATTATAGCATGAATAAAAGGAGCCAGCTGGTGTAGGTTGATTACTCTTCACTCTAAAACTTGAAGGCATAAGAGACTATATTTTAAATTTCATTATCTTTCAGCTGATCTCTTTCTTCAAAACTATGAAGCTACAGGATGGTTCAAAGGCTGCCAGCCCCAGAAGAGCGTCAGCATGCCTGAATAGTCCACAAACGAGACAATACTTTTCATGACAGTTGCCATTTATTTAGCATGTGCTTTACACCAGGCATCGGGCTAAACTCTTCACCTGCAGTATCTCATTTTGTCCTCATAGTAACTCTAAGAAGGACGGAGATGTGTGTTCACTTATCCATCTATCTCGTATCAATTGAATCTCAGGTTGTAGAAGCTGGAGTGAATTATACTTCTCAATTCATTATATTGGGTTGTCGGAAAAGTCATGACGCATTTTTGCAACGAAAAACAGAAAAAATACATCATGACTTTTCCGACAAACCAATACATTGTTACCGTTGGTCTGTGCAAGATCCGTATGTTAATTAATTGACTTATTCCCTTTTATCCATGTATCCAACACTCGTTCACGCTCCCCCATAAATAACCAATTTATTAGGTTTAGTGTGTATCTTTCCTCTGTGTGTATTGTTATGAAATGTATACTGTGGTTTTCTGTATGTGTATTTTAAATTTGTATAAAATGGTATGTTATATTTCATTCTGTCTCTTAACTTTTTAATAACTGTTTAACAAATAACTGTTTTAACACATTTTTAAAAACCCATTCACATTGCTGTGGATTTATTTAGTCTATTGCTTCCACTCGTGGCATAATACTCCATGGTTACACCTACCACAGTTACACATTCTCGTTCCTAGTGATGGACAGCCAGGTTGCGTTGGTGTCACACTTCCTACTGCCACTCATAGGAGTATTGTAGCGCCACATGGCTCCTTTATGGACTATGTGAGACTTGCTTTGGGGTGTATAGTGAAGAATGGAATTGCTACTTCATAGGACATACGTAGACTTGATTTGCCTACATACTGCCAGAGGTAGGTGCCATTGTTATCCCCATTTTACAGATGAGGGAACTGAGGCTTTGAGAGCTTTAGTAACTTACCCAGAGTCACATCGTCAGTGACCAGCAGAGCTGGGCTTCAAATTCAGACAGTCTTGCTCCAAAAATTCTACTCTTGATGACTGTGCCTTCGTTCTCCTCTATTTGATACTTGAGGACAGTTTACAAAAACAAGAAAGTAAATCTCATTGTTTGTAGTTTTTCTCTTCCCCACATGGCTGCATAGTAACTGTTTTTCTCTGACTTTCATGTCCTGTGGATCTGCAGCACTGGTTGCCGCATTGGTAATCCAGAACTGGTACCGAGGTTACAGCGCTCGGTTGAGGACCAGACAACGCTATGCGCTCACCATCTTCCAGTCCATCGAATATGCTGATGAACAAAGCCAATTGCAGGTCTGTTTTGCACGCTTGTCTCTTCTTTTGGTAAAATGCTTCTCTTTACCCCTGGCTTTTGAAAGAATGACAGTTTGGGGCCATTTTAAGCTGAGGAACCTTGGCAAAAGGATTTAATAGAAGATACAGTGACATTGTCTTGGAGCTAGCTGTTGAGAGAAAGCATGATTTTGGATGAGGATGGTGTTTTTCGGTTCTGAAGTTCACATTTTTAAGAAGGCTGCTAGATGTCTATTTAACTAATAAAAAATGGTCTTATTCTGTTTTGAGGTACATGCCCCGTAGGAGGAAAAGTTGTTACTTTATGAAGGAAAAAACACTTTGAGGAGTTAAAAAAAAATAGAAGAATTTTTTTGGAACAAACCTATGAAAGTTCTAGAAGAAAAATACAGATGGGCAAAAAGGGCCTTTTTTAAGCTTGCAAAAACGATATATAAATTCGGCTGTAATGCTTGATAGAAAAAAAAGTACTTTTAACAAGAAGACCTTAGAAAGATCTCCAATATGACTTTTAATGAAAAAATTAACTTGTAGAACAAAATGTAGAGTTTTAGCCCAGATATGTGAAATTAAATTAAACATACAGCCAAAGTCTGGAAAAAGATATACAGTAAGGTGTTTACAGTGGTTATTTCTGGGGACAGGAGTGGTATTGACGGGTGGGAGTTGCGTGGGAGAGGAATTCTCATTTTCATTCTGTATCGTTTGTAGTTTTCACCAATCATATTTATCTGTAAATTTATTTATCACATAATCTTTAAAAATGATTAAGAAAATTTCAAAAAGAATTAAAGGAATTGCTGGATTTATTCTTGGCAGCTATAAAAATGATATACTATGATTCAATTAGCTTCTCCCAGTGCTGTCATTTTAAGCACTGTAGAACATAGTGATGAATATAAAGATGGCGTGAGCTCTCAAATCCATATGCTTTATATACATACATTCCTGTATTAGTACATTCTTTAACATTGACTCTTTTTTTTTAAATTGGGGAACAGTGTGTTTTTCTAGGACCCATCAGCTTTAAGTCAAGTAGTTGTTTCAATCTAGGTGTGGAGGGTGCAGCTCAGTGGCCCATGTAGGGATCGAACCGGCAACCTTGGTGTTATGAGCACTGCACTCTAACCACCTGAGCTAACCGGCCGCCCCCTAACATTGACTCTTTTTTATTTGTTTATTTATTTATTTAATTTTTTTTAGCTGAGCCATCCTGCCACCTGTTGGCAGCTCAGCGGCTGCTCAGCTTGGGCCAGGCATCAAACCACTGTCGCTCAGAGCTCAAACTCTTGAGCGAGCTCTTAACCAACTGAGCCACTCGGCCAGCCCTCATTGACTCTTTTTTAAATAACACATTTATTGAGATATAGTTCACCCATTTAAAGTGTAAAATGTAATGGCTGTTAGCATATTCACAAAGTTGTAACCATCACCACAATAAATTTTAGAACTTTTTCATTACCCCCTGCTCCCACAAAAAACCCTATACTCATTAGCAATCTCTCCCCAACCCCAGCCCCTGGCAACTGCTAATCTGTTTTCTGTCCTTATGGATTTGTCTTTTCTGGCCATTTCGTATAAATGGAACCACACAACATGTGATCCTTTTTGTATTTGACTTCTTTCACTGAGCATGTCTTCAAGGTTCATCCATGTTGTAGCATGTGTCAGTACTTCATGCCTTTTTATTGCTGCATAATATTCCATTGTATGGATATAGCACATTTTGTTTATTCATTCCTCAGTGGATAGATTATTTGAATTGTTTCCATTTTTTTGACTATTATAAATTGTGCTGCTATGAATATTTGTGTGCAAGTTTTTTTATGTGAACATATGTTTTCAGTTCTCTCGGGTGTATACCTAGAAGTGAAATTGTTGGGTCATCTGTGTTTAACTTTTTGAATAATTGCTAAATTGTTTTCCAAAGCAGCTGCACCATTTTACATTCCCACCAGCAGTGTATGAGGGCTCCAATTTTGCCATATCTTTGCTGACGCTTGTTATTATCTGTCTTCTGGATTATAGCCATCCTAGTGTATGTGAAATGGTATTTCATTGTGATTACTATTGACTCTTAATTGATAAACCCATAGACAGTATTAAAATCATACATTTTAATATTTTTTATGGACAGTTCCTTCCCTGAACTCTTACACTTAACTCCCAGATTGAGAAGGTTCTTTAGTGTTCACTCTTCATGGGACGCAGGGCTTGGAGAAAAAGTTATTTGTGCTGTGTAAGTGCAGGTCTTTGCAGGTAATTGGTAGGCATCTAGGTGATGGTTGGAATGCTGGTGGATTTCCATCTTTCTCTCCCTCTCTCTCTTCTTCCTTATTTCATTTCACAAATATATTTGACATTTAAGAGTATCCATTAACTCTTAATCTCACTACCAAAAGGAAAAGCGATCATAATGAACAAAATCTAGTAGTTGTTTTAGGTTAGTTTCCTAGAAGCAGGATCTGAGACAGGTTTACTGGTACAAGTGATTTCCTGGGAGAGTGTTCTCAGGAAAAACCTGTAAGGGAGTGAGGAAAGCCAGATAGGATGGGAGAAGAAACTAGGCAAAAAGGTGGTTTCTGGAGAAGTCGGACCTCAGTCTGATCCTGTTGGGAGCTCTGAAATGGGAAATGCCTCACAGATTTTGCCCAGCCAGTGGCAATGGAGGTGGGGGGGCTGGGCTGTAGTACCTTTGTTTCAGTAAGTCATTCTCTATGAGCAGCTCCCCAGGAGGCGGGTATATGATATCCTGTGCAACTCTGGGGGAGGTGCTGCCCATCCGCCAAGGGCAGTCCCTGGGAGGAGGGGAACAGGTAGAGGTGGGACCCATTAGCACTCATGGCAGCTGGGAGTTGAGTGCCCCAGAAGAGTAAAGGGGACTTGCACGGAACACCAACAGCATTTGCCACACAGCTTGTTTGGGGTTTATTAATTGATTAATGTATTTTTATTTTGTCCAGCTATCCAATTTCTTTACCTTCATGTTGGAAAACTACAAACATGTACATGAGAAAGATCAGAGTAAGTAAAAATTTTGTCTTTTGAAAAGCAGTCATTAAATGTTGACTTTTTCTTATCAAGGGATGTAAACTCAGAAGACGGGAGAGCACTAGGAGATTTAAAAGGTGCAAACCTGTCTTGTCTATGTGACACCAAACTGGTGAAATCAGTTCAGCTGGCTTTTTTTTCTCTCATAGGTGTCAACTAAATTGACCATTTATTTATTTATTTATTTTAAAGATTTTATTGGGGAATTGGGGAAGGGGAACAGTGTTGGGGAATTTGGGGAAAGGAACAGCCAAGTTGTTGTCCTTCGATCTTAGTTGTGGAGGGCGCAGCTAGCTGAGCTCCAAGTCCAGTTGCCATCCCGCCGCCTGATGGCAGCTCGCGGCCACTCAACTCAAGGTGCCATGTTCAATTTTAGTTGCGGGGGGGCATAGCCCACCATCCCATGTGGGAGTCGAACTGACAACCTTGTTGTTAGAAGCACATTCTCTCACCAGCTGAGCCATCCTGCCACCTCTTGGCAGGTCAGCGGCAGCTCTGCTCGGGCACAGCTCACTGGTCCATGTGGGAATCGAACTGGTGACCCTGTTGCTCAGAGCTTGTACTCTAACCAACTGAGCCACGTGGCCAGCCCCTGACCATTTATTTTTTTCACTTCCAAAAAACTGAATTAGAAGTGGTAGGAGGGGAAAACAAACAAACAAACAAACAAACAAACAAACAAACACTGGATTAGCTTTCATTCAGCATTAATTTGTTGAATACCTTCTCTGACCACAATCTATTGATGTACAATATTAGCTTAGTAAGCAGGATCTTAGTTTTTACCCATGAAACTTTGTGCTTAGAGATCAAAATACCATGAGTATTTCATGGGACAGATTTAGGGGGAAATGGTGGATTAAACACAGTTGACCCCACCATGTTCCTGTTTTCTGCCTATCTATCTGGCTGTTTAACTATCTATAATTTATTTAGTCATTCTGAAATAACTAAATGAATCATTTTGGAGACAGGCAATTAAGAGTGGTTCAAAAATGATTTTAGGATAATAGTTACTCACAAGGCATGTGTTTCTCCTGCAAATTTAGACCTGCCTGTTGTTATCTTCAAGGTGGATGCTAGATTTAAAACTTGTTTCTTTAGTTTGGGCCAACCATTTTTTACTCTAATTAAAAATGGTTATGGCGCGCCGGCTGAGTGGCACGATGATTAAGAGCTGGCTTGGGATGCCAGAGGGCCCCGGTTCGGATCCCACATATGAGGGCCAGTGACACTGCCCTCCACAGCTAAGATGCTGAACA